GAAGTGTGTGTCTAGTTGAATAAGATGGTTTGGGATGTTCTGTGTGATACACACACACACACACACACACACACACACAAAATCAACAAAATTTTAAAAATGTATTATATTTGAGGAGGAAGCGTGGAAATTTACGTCATGCTAATTAGTAGAGGTGATAAACAGTACCACTGAAATCTACTTGATGACTTTATAGACATACACAGGCGCCAAGGATTCAAGTGCAACTGATTACGACTAGTAATAATCAGATACATACAGATTAGAGATGCATGCGCCAGCATCTCAGTGTTCATAGCAAAAACAATGAGTCTTTCTGCAAGGAATAATCTAAAATAAAATGCAGATCTTTTTTAAATGTTAAGAACTCATTCAATTTTATGTCTTACAGGGCTTATACTGAGTTCAGTGTTGTATAACTGTACTAATCCAACAATGAACCTAATTTTTTTTTATGTTTCCTACATTTTTTTTCAATAAAATATTTTTTTTCAATTAGAAGAAGCATTTCATTACAACAGCATTAACCTATTCAATAACATTTTTCTGAGCTAGGGTACATCTCTTTCAAAATTGGCTGTACATTTCTAGGTTTACAGATGAATTATTACCCTTATATAATCTTTTACTCATTATAAACTCTATAAGACATAAAATTAAATGAGGTTCCAACGTTTAAAAAAGATCTCCACTTCGTTGTCAAAACACACAGTTTCATACAGAAAAATTCATTCCAAGGCAATTGACATTGAGACATTTTCACATACATTTCTAATCTCTATATACATGACTATCACTGGTCACAGTCGCCCACCTTCTGAGCTCCTCGGCATGGAGGATCAGAAGTTCAGGGTCATTTGTGGTTACGTAGTAAACTGGAGTCCAACCTGGGCTACACAAGACCCTGTCTGATAAAAAAAAAAAAAAGGAAAAGGACTAAAGGATAAGGCAGATTAGCTGAGGGTAGGATCTGAGGGCCTTGAACATATCAAGTAGTGCTCTCAGATGAGTGAAAATGAGAAGTCTGGCATCGTGTATCTGAAATGTACCTAGATCTCAAAATTCACACCATGTTTCTCTTTCTGTGATATCGCCATACTGTCACTCATTTACTCCAGTTTGGCCAAGGAAAAGGACTAAAGGATAAGGCAGATTAGCTGAGGGTAGGATCTGAGGGCCTTGAACATATCAAGTAGTGCTCTCAGATGAGTGAAAATGAGAAGTCTGGCATCGTGTATCTGAAATGTACCTAGATCTCAAAATTCACACCATGTTTCTCTTTCTGTGATATCGCCATACTGTCACTCATTTACTCCAGTTTGGCCTTCCTCTCCTTTTGCAGAAGAAGGTGCTGCATAGACTTCTGTGCGAGGGTTCCTTTGCAGACAGGAATAATGTAAGCTAGATGTTTCAGCAAGAAAGGCTAGTCATGGTAATGTGCACTGAGACCTGAGTTTCAGGGTTTTATCTTTTTAGAGCACTTCATATAGCTTTAAGAGTATCAGGACACTTTGCAAACAGTAGGCTACATCTGGTTATGCTTAGTGTACATCCAAAACATGAACCAAGGAGTGACTTCCCTTTCACTCAACCCCTAGATTCTGTGAGTCTCATATCAATAGCCTTCTACTCAGAATTGAAATCCTTGCTGTGCCAACTAAACAGCCCAAGCATGCCCTGTGGAGTCTGAGCTTGTGTTTCAGTAAGTTAATGGGCCAATGAATCTGTATCTGTTCCTGGCAAGCCCCTCCAGAACACTGATATGTGGGGATTGTGGTTTCATTCAGGGCTTGTTTTAATAGCCTTGATCAGATTTATTTAAAAATACAAAGTTCTGAACTAATCTTGAAAAATGGTTAAAACATTTTCTTATATACTCTAGAAAAGAAAACCCAAAAACTAATAAAGTATTGTATTTTTAGGTCAGCAGCACAATGGCCATGGGAAAAGAAAAATTCTACGGCATATTTCCGAGGATCAAGGTGATTGTATTCTTTAACCTCTTATAAATATGATTTTCTTCTAAGCACTGTGTAAAATATATGTAATCTTGGGGGTGTGACATATTCCATGGCTCAAAAGAAATGCTACGAAAACTAAAAAATTAATGTGGAATGATGGCCAGGCATCAGGGCACATGTCTGTGACACCAAAACTTAAGAAGCAGGGGCAGGAGGACTCCTACAAGTTCCAAGTCAGCCTGACCTACACAGTGAGTTATAGGCCAGCCAGGGTTACATAATGAGAACGTGTGAAAACAATCACCCCCGCTTCCCCTACCACTACCACCAAAACAATGTACAGAGATAGGATTTTAGACTAGAGAAGAATTCAGTTATTTGCCAAGTCACTCTCAATTGAACTAGAATTCAAAGAAATAAAGTTCCCTGAGAAGTCACTTAATAAGTATTTGTGGGGAGCCATCTGTCGGGCAGAACAGAGGCCTCTTGTTTACAGTTTTCTTAGGAGTAGCTTGTTATTGTGCGCAAGTTACTCTGCTGGTTAACACAGAGCAGGAATCATTACCAGGCCTCCTGACTGCCTTTCCATTATGGCTGAATAGCATAGACTGAGGCAGATGAAAATGGAGAAGGAAGAGGATAGAGGAGGGAAATGGAAACCCCTGGCTGTGTTGTTCTACTTCATATGCACAGTGCCTAGGACTGCACCTGCCTATAAAGAGACAGAATGTATCTGTGGAGCTGATGAATAGAAAAGACCATAAAGGGCGAAAGGTGTTTGAGTTATAAGTGTCACACTGTTATCAGAGATCACACCATTTTCTACCTTGCTTGGACAGAGAAATTCAGGATGCAGGTAGGCCTAAGACCCACTGCCAACTATCTTACTCATTTAATTTCCCTGACACTCAAAATTCTTTTTTTTTTTGAGCTAGTGTCTTGTTATCTAGTTTAGGCTGGCCTTGAATTTTGGACTCCCTTGCCTCCAAAGTAGCTGGGATTACAGCTGAACACTTACTCAGTGCGTCACTGTGCCTTGCTCTTGTTTTGTCTTCTAATTTAAATATTATATAAAATTTTACAGTGCATATACAACAAAGGTCATGTGGTTATTTTGGTGGGTGATTATGTGGTCACATAGCTATGAGTACCAGAGATTACAAAAATGCCATGAAACTTCCAAAAGGGAAATCATCCCTGGGAGATAGCTGTCATGACCAGAACATCATAATCTTAAAAACCAGATGTAGGTCAGTTATGGTGGCACACACTTGTAGTCCCAACACTTGAAAGGTAGCAGCAGGAGGACCAGGAATTCAAATATGGTAAGTTCACAGCTAGCCTGGGCAACATAACATCCTGTTTCAAAACCAACTAACATACAATAAAACCACATGCAAGCAAAGAAGGGCTCAACATCTCCCTTTGATAGGTAAAGTGGGTATAGCCTAGACTACCAAGATGCTGCAGTACCCAGGATACCCTTCCTTTACTATCATAGACAAGTGAACTATCCATCTGTACAGACTGCCACTGCTGGTGCTCATCTTTTAGGGCTTGGGAACAGTATTGTGGTATAGGCCACACAGTTTTATGTCATGTTTCTTTTCCAGGACAAGCCCAGAACGGGATCCTCTCATTCTTCTATCTCGGAAAAATCCAAAACTTGTTGATGCAGAATACACCAAAAACCAGGCCTGGAAATCCATGAAAGTAATCATCAGTCATCTGAATAGAACTACAGCAGTGCATGACTCTAAGAACACTGCCAGCTGGGTAGAATTTGTGATTAGGTTTCTTCTCAGTGATGAAATGGAGAGAAAGCTCTATGAGCCAGTATTAGCATATATGTAAATTCATGTTTTCCAAACTCACATTGTTTTGCTAGCCATATTATAATGAGTATAGCAAACAACTATGAAGGTTTAAATCAGAACTCAGAAGCTTTTTCTATGAAAGGCCAGAGAGTAAATATGTGGGGATGTGCCGGTCACATGGCTTCTGTTCTATTTCCTGCTGAAATGGGGTGAAAGCAGCCATAGGTAGTAGGTTAGCAACTGAGCCTGGTTGTTTCCTAGTAATAACTTTTTTTATATCCACCAATATTTGAGTTTCATGTAATTGTCACATATCAAAAATATTTTTTTCAAACACTTGAAAAATATGAAAATGTCTAGCCCATGGATTATATACCACCATGTGGTAGGTGGGATTTGGTCTGTTGGCTATAGTTTCCCAATCTCTGATTTAAACTGGTGTTTTTTTGTTTTTTTTTTTTTAAACTCTGTATAGTATAACCTGAGAGCTTAAATAGTGAACCAAATTAATCTTAATTTCTGGGGATTGGATTCCAGGAATTCCTTTAAAACTTCCTAAGGGATTCTAAGATTAAACCAGAAAAATGGAACCTTTAAAGTCCATCCTCTTAATGCTGTGACTTGCCTTAAGAAAAAATAGGTCCTAAGTTCCCTTATCTGCATTTTCCACATAGCATATGAGAATTTTATAAGGAAAAGCTTTAAATTTCTTGGAGAAAAACATAATGTCTGAAGTGAATATATTATTTGTAAAGGTTTTGTTTTTCATTTGTTGTTGTTGCCCTACTGGGGACTGAACCCATTCCTCAGGATGCTAGGCAAGCACTGTACCACTGAGCCATACTCTCAGCCTATTTTATAGTTTTATCAAACAGGAGCAAATGAATTTAAGAAACTTTGTGAAATAACAAGAATATACATAGGGGTTCAAGGTCATTCATTCTCAGCTACATAGTGAGTTCAAGTCTAGCCTGAGCAATGGACCCTATCTCAAAATGAAAAAAAGACAACACAAAGAAATGAAAGAATGCATTCATTCAGCATGTAAGTTGCTAGCATCTACTGTGCAGGGAGGCAGCAAAAGCAAGCAGAGTTACTCCCCTCATCAAGGTTACTAGGGGACATACATGAAAGAGTGAGCCAGACAGGGCACCGACAGAGCCATCTGACTATAGCCAAGTGGGTAGAGGGGCCTGGTTTGCCAGATCTTGTTTTGTTTTTTTTTGTTGTTGTTGAGACAGGGTCTCCTTGTAGCCCCAGCTGGCCTGGAACTCCCTATGCAGACCAGACTACTCTTGATCTCACATAGATCCTTCTGCTTCTGCCTCCTGAGTCCTTGGATGAATGTCACCAGATCCTTTTTATTATTTCTTTCCTCCAAGAAAATTTGCAAATCTAGATAATTTTTAGATAGGGTCTCAGGTAGCCTAAACTGGTCTTAAACTTGCAGTATAGCTGAGAATGGCCTTGAACTCATGATTCTCCTGCCTCTACCTGAACAACAAAATCCCCAGTTGGGATTATCAGTGTGGTATGAGCTCTACCAGAGTGGAGATATATATTCTGTAGGAAATACTTGCCACCTAATAAAATGTTGGCAATGGTTTGAATATTTACTTTTAGATACTTTCTAGGCCCAACAAATATCATAGACCCTTACCACCAGCACTTGTGACCTGAGTGTGGAGTTCACACAGAGTTAAGTGAGCTGTACACTATGACCTCTTTAGTTCATAGAAGGGTAACATGGCTTCAGGTGAGTTCATACTCTAAAACCAGACAGACTTGGGTCAACACTATTGTTTTTACTTAGGGTCACATGACCTGGGCATGTCTTAACTTGACACCTTGGCTTCCTCAGCTGTATGATGAAGATAATAATGCCTCCTGGGTATATTTATTATGAGGCATAAGTGAAATTGTGTTGATGAAATGTTTTAACAATGCTGGTTGCACTTTGGGTGCCCACATATGCTATTCCTAATGCTGATAACTTCCTTTTCACTTAAAGGATACCTTGGGAAAGCCAGCTGCTAAGGATGTCCATCTTGTGGATCACTGCAAATACAAGTAAGACTTCTAATTATTTGTTTCTGTATTCCTTTTGAAATTCTTTCTCTTTAGAGAAGAACTTTCATCCTACGATAAAGTGTTAATTCATTTGGTTGGCTTTTACTGAGACTTGCTATGTACTGACTTGAGTTTTATGGGGACAATAGAGAAGAACAAAACATTCTTGAATTAATTACCATTAACTAAAGTGGTGAGATCACCTCTCTCTGTGATTCTCCTTCCAATAGTTGAAGTTAGATTAAATATTTATCGTATTAATAAATATTATGAGGCGTGCAACATTTGCTTAGTGTACATGAGGCCCTGTGTTTCAACCCCTTACTTCATATTGCAAGAAATAAGCAAACACTGTAATGAGTTTCAGGACTAAAAAGCTACATAGGTAAAAGTGAGGCTTGGAGGAGGTGGTGTTGGGATTTGAAGATGATTCTACACAGTGGGAACCATGGGGTAAGAACTGCTCTGGTTGGAGACATGTGCATGTATGAGAAATGCTGACAAAAAAAATGACCTTTTCTTAGCTTTTTCAAGAGAGTACTTTTTTGAAGATTGATTTGGTTAGACTTGTTCTCCCTAGTCTTTAGAAGGGGGTGACTTGTACTGGATAGCTTTAGAATCAACTTGACACACCTGGGTTGAGGGAGCCTCAACTGGGGAATTGCCTCCATTGGACTGGCCTGTGGTCATGTCTGTGGGGCATCTTCTTGGTTATTGAGTGATGTGGGAGGGCCCAACCCACTGGTGAGTGGTGCCACCTCTGGACAGATTGGCCTATTATTGTCTAAGAAAGCAGGTTGAATGAAGGCCAGAGGAGCAAGTCACTAAGCAGTGTTCCTCCATGGCCTGTGCTTCAGCTCCTGCCTCCAGGTTCCTGCCCTGAGTTCCTACCTTGGGCTCCCTGATGAACTGTGACTCTGGAGATGTAAGACAAATAAGCCCTTTCCTCCTCAAGTTGGTAGTGGTCAGCGTGTTTGTCATAGCAATGGAGAAACAAACTAGGACAACTTATTAGATACAAGAGCTCAGGCTGGCCTCTAATTCAATATGAAGCTGAGGATGAACTTGAACTCCTGATCCTCTGTCTCCACCTCTCAAATGCTGGGATTGCAGCATGTTCCACTGGTGTAAAGTTCTTTTACGTTTTTTAAAAAAACCCTTTTTTAACATTTTTTTTTAGTTTGGGTATGCACATGCCAGAGCGTGTATATGGAGGTCATATTACAGCTTGTTGTAGTCGGTTCTCGCCTTCCACCATGTGGGTTATGGGGATCAAACTCAGGCCCTCAGTCTTGGGGGCAAGCAGCTTTATCTGCTGAGCCACCTCAGCAGACCAGATTTTTACTTAATGTGCATCATTGAATACTTCTATATTTTCTTAAATATTTCTGAAATCTACAAAAAGCTATTCTTTTTTTTTCATCCAAAATGTGTTTATTGGGATGCTTTCTCACTCATCTGGATTCGGGGTACTTTTAGTGCTGCTTCCTCCTGAAGGAACATCCATCTGTAAGCCATGTTTTTCTGCCTGTAGGCTGACAGAGGACAGTGGAGCAGCTAACCCACAAGACTACCATTTGTACATGGCTAATTTGTATGTGGTGATTTTATAGCATCCTGGGCATTTCATATCCATGAAGTAGGAATTAGGGCTTTGCACCAGACACTTCTTCTTCTGTTTCCTCTTCTCCTGCAAAAAGCTATTATTTCTTTCTGAGCCTGTATGTTTTCCACCCATAAAACTGTCTGGACAAATTATTCCCCCTTTCCCTTACCTGACAGTCTCAGAACTGTCTGCAGCTGAAACTCTAGAAAAGCAAGAGGTTATGGAAATCCCACAAAAATACTTGCAAACTGAGAGTAGTAAAGGGAGAACAGGGCATGACAGCTCAATGCCTGCGATCTCTGCACTCGGGGTAGCGTGAAATTCTGTCTCAAAAAAAGAGAAATCATAAAAGTAGATGGAGGAAGAAAAAAAGGTCCCACTTATGGCAGCAGGTATAGACTACCAAAATGTGTTTTCTTTTTCTTCCCAGGTATCTGTTTAATTTTCGAGGGGTAGCTGCAAGTTTCCGATTCAAACACCTCTTCTTGTGTGGTTCACTCGTCTTCCATGTTGGTGATGAGTGGGTAGAATTCTTCTATCCACAGCTGAAGCCCTGGGTTCACTACATCCCAGTCAAAACAGATCTCTCCAATGTCCAGTAAGCAGTTATCTCCCAGTTTAGTGTCAAATGACCAGTCTCTCTCAAATCCAGTGGCTAAGGCATTTTCTTAAGATGATTTTTTTCAAGTCAAAGCTTTTTTTTCCTTTCCAAAATATTTGGTTTGCACATATTGTATAGTGTTGCATTATTATCTAGGTAGGCTATAAATAGGATTAATTTGAAAAAGTGCTTTAATTTAAAAGCACTGTTTCTGCAGGCTAGAGAGATGGCTCAGTTAAGAACACTGACTGTTCTTGCAGAAGACCCAGGTTCGAATCCCAGCATTTGAATGGCAGCTAACAACTGTCCGTAACTCCAGTTCCAGGGGATCCGACAGCCTCTTCTGTCCTCTGCAGGCATTGCACAACACGGGTGCACTTACCTACATGCAGGCAATACACGTATACACATAAAATAAAAATAAAATTTTAAAAGTAAATAAAAGTGCTGTTTCTAGTGTAAAATTCAGATAGAATGACATGAAAAAATTCTAATATCTCAGTGATTAAAGATAGAGATTTGGTCTTGTTATAATGTCAATAGGATTTCAGACACAGTGTAAAAATTGGCTCAAGTACAACTTGGGCAATTTTTCTTTCATGGTAGGATGAGATAGAAAGAGGTATAGAGAAGTGAATCTAGCTCCCTCTTCCGGGGGCCAGAACAAGAATTTGGAGACAAGCTGGAAATGTTAAAAATTTATTCATGTGTGTGTGGTGTGTGTGTGTGTATAAGTTTGTGCATGTGAATGCAAGTATCTGCAGAGGCCAGAAGCACCAGACCTCCTGGAGCTGGAGTTACAGGCAGCTGTGAGCTGTTCAGCGTGGGCTCTGGGAATTGAATTAGGCTCCTCTGAAAGAGCAATACATGCTCTTTACCACTGAGCCATCTTTCCAGCTCAAAATTTTTTTTGAGGGGGGTCTTTTTGAGACAGGGTCTCCCTGTAGCCCCAGCTAACCTGGAATCTGCTATGTAGACCAAGCTGGCCTTACACTCACAGAGATCCACCTGCCTCTGCTTCCCGAGTGCTGGGATTAAAGGTGTGCGCCACCACGCCTGGCCCAGCTCAAAAGTTTTAATAAAAAAAAAATGTGTATGAGTGTTTTGCCTGCATGTGTATCAGTGCACTATGTACTTACAGTACCCACAGGGCAGAAGAGGGTGTTGGATCCCCTACAACTGGAGTTAGGGATGATTATTAGCCACCACGTGGATGCTGGGAACCAAACCCAGGTCTTCTGCTAGAGAGTACTCTTAACTGCTGAGCCACCTCTCCCCTATTTTTTCTCAAATATATTCTAAATCTATATAACAGAACATAGTATAATAACAGATAATAAGTAGTCTGACTTTAACTTGCATGTGGAGTTCTTTTGGTTTTCCTTTTTTTGACATGGGCTCATGTAACCCCAGGCCATTTTCAAACTTATTATGTAGCCAAAGGTGACTTTGAACTCCTGAACTTCCTGCCTCTACCTCTCAGGTGCTAGGCTTATCAGTGTGCCCCATGCCCACCACTCTTGGCTTTGTATGTGGGCTTTTTTCTTTGCTATTATTTTAGTCCTTCAGGTACCCTGCTAGCTTTGCTTTAAAGAAATAATTTACTATATATATACATATATATATGTATATATATATCTAGAGATTGTCATTCTGACTTCATATTAATACGGTCTACATACTTTTAAAAACAATTTATTGAGAATTTCATACAGGCACATAAGCATATAAGGTGTTTTGATCAAATTCGTCCCCACTCCCTCCCCTCCAACTCCTCCCATGTCTTCCCATCATTTTTTTCTGATAACTTCATGTACTCTTTCTTCTTTTTGCTACTCTAATATTCCCCCCTCTGAAGAGGGAACCCTAAAATCTTTTAAAGATAAGAGCTCCCAAATACTTTCAACAGTTTTGGCCTTTGGAATAGAGTATGTTGCTAAGAGGCCCAAGGACATTGTGCATTTAAGCCAAGAAACTGGCTACTTTTCTTTGGGGTCTTTTTACACTAACTGCCTAGCTAATTCCTACCTCCTATTTTTATCACACCATCCTCTGAAGAGGTTACCCAACTTGCAGATAGGGACGCGGGACACAGTCCACTCTGGCTTCTTCCACACTGAAAAGGGATGCAGGGTAAGACAATTGGGGTATCCTTTCAGTGGGTCTATCTAAAAGACTCCCAAATTATATACCTTTTAAAAACAATATTTATTTTTATTTTATGTGTATGCGTGTATTGCCTGCATGTAGGTAAGTGCACCCATTACATGCAATGCCTGCAGAGGACAGAAGAGACTGTTGGATCCCCTGGAACTGGAGTTAGGACAGTTAGCGGCCATGTGGGTGCTGGAATTCGAACCCAGGACTTCTGCAAGAATCAGTGTTCTCAACCACAGAGCCATCTCTCCAGCCCCCCCCCCCAATGGCATAACTCTTATCTGCAGGGGGAAAAGTCCTTGACTGATGAATAGGAGATGTGAAGGAGAAGTAAAGGCAAGAGTTATTAGCATTACAAGTTCTAGACAGGGAACTAGAAAAATGTGAGAACAGGATATGGTCTACATTTTAAAATCTCATGTTTTTTTGTGTTGTGTGTGTGTGTGTGTGACTATGGGGCTCTGTGAGTGCACATATATGTATGTCTATATGGAGGCCAGAGGTCAATCTTGGGTGCTGTTCCTCAGGGGCCACGCACTTTTTCTTTTTTGAGATAGTCTCTACTTGGGACCTAGGCTTGTTTATTAAATTAGGTTGGTTGGCCAGCCAGCTTCAGGGATCCATCTGTCTCTGTCTCACCAGCACTGGGATTAACGGTCATGCCACCATGCCTGGCTTTTTACCTTGCTGGAATGGAACTCAAGTTCTATGCTTGCATGGTAAATACTTTACCAACTGAGCCATCTCCCCAGCCCCTAAAGTTTCATGGTTCTTTTCATTTTAGGGAGCTGTTACAGTTTGTGAAAGCAAATGATGATATTGCTCAGGAGATTGCTGAAAGGTAAGTTCTGTTCATTTTTTCTCTCTTCCTTTATCCTAAAAGTTGTTTGAATACTTTTTCCATGATAATGTCTATACCTCAGCTTCATCTTACAAAGATAATTCAGAATTAAGCTGTCCTGAAGTTACATACACACACACACACACATCCTCCATGCTTTATACAAATAGACTTCAATCTTTGAGGAAATATTTTTAGCTGGGCATGATGATTCACCTCTGTAATCCCAGCTGAGTCAAGAGAATTGCCATGAGTTCAAGGTCAGCCTGGACTACATAGTTCCAGGCCAGCCTGAAGTAAAGTGAGATATTGTTTCAAAATACCAAACCACACCAAGACAAAACAACAAAACCCAAGTATTAAAAATGATTATTGGCTGGTAATACTTGTTTTGAAGAAACAAATATTGCCAGGCATGGGGACTTACACCTTTAATCCCAGCAGAGACAGGCAGATCTCTGTGAGATCAAGTCCAGCCTGGTCTACATAGCAAGTTCCAGGCCAGGCAGAGCTATAGGGAGACCCTATCTTAAAAAACCAAAAGAAACAAATGTTATGTTCTATTGCTAAATGCAGACATGTGGATATGGTATGGGGTCAGTGCTGAAGGTCAGGTGAATTAATTAAAATAAAGTACTTGAAATGAGGCTCAGTATAAGCCTACTCATATGTAGGCTTATTATTACTAAATTCTGACTTAAAACTATTCTTGTTAATCTTGTTTCTAGGGGAAGCCAGTTTATCATGAACCACTTGCAAATGGATGACATCACCTGTTACTGGGAGAACCTCTTGACTGAATACTCCAAATTCTTGTCCTATAATGTAACAAGAAGGAAAGGCTATGATCAGATTATTCCCAGACTCTTGAAAACTGAACTATAGTAGTCACCACAGGACCAGAGTCCTATCTGTGACAGTAGATATGAGATGTTCTGTGGTGAGAATACCATGAGCCTGGCACCTATACTTTGAACAACTTTGATCAAGCCAAACATACAGTTTTCCTCATCGTGCTGCAACTCCTGAGAAAGATCTCAAATGGGTATAATACACAGAAACCAAACAGCTCAACTCTTTGCTGAATAATGACCAGAAATCATGAAATAAGGATTTGGACTGCATTCTACATTTTCTTATAACCAATCACAGCTTGTGCCTCAGATCATGTACATGTATATATTCGTCACTGTGAAACTAACTAGGTCCATGCAGTGATGCCCTTTATTCTGTTATTTGGAGCAGAACATCTATCATTTGGAATGAGTACAATTCATTGCTACAGTTCTGAAGTTATTCTAGGAACTCTGCTGCTTTATTTTAATGTAGAAATCCTATGGGGTTTGTGAAAAATACTTGCAGATCATTTCCTGAATGGTCTAAGGAAGCAGTGGCTGTGCCATATAGTGATGTAGTTCTCTTTTGTAAAAGCATAAATTCTTTGGTACTCAGGTTTCTATAATGCCACAATTGCATGAGTAATTTTTGCAGTTGGATTTCAAATTCCCATTTTGTGCCTTCATGCCCTTACTCTTTCAAAAGGAGAAATTTTCTACAAATTTAGGAAGTAGTCTCACTCATAGGAACTATGCTTAGAAGAGCAACTCTCAAGCAGGTGTGGTGGTATGCCTGTAATCCTAGCACCTGGGAGGCAGAGGCAGGAGGATCAATCACGTCAACGCCTCTCAGCTACATAGGGAATCTGAAGTCAGCCTGGCTACATAAGAGTCTCAAAAAACCCCAAAACAAAAAACAGACTTCCTCACCTTTTGAACACATTATTTTTGCCTTCTTAAATTAGTAGCAACAGGGACTGTCTCAATGTGCAGAGACCACAATCTTCATATGTTGAACACATCATGAAGTGGTAATTTAGAGCATTCAGCTTCTGTATTTACTTATATATGAGGTATTTTAGTGTAAATTATTTGAGTACTTCTTTTTCCCCCTTTCTGAAAGACATTTGGATAGTTTATTTCTAGCTCCAGCTCAAGTATCAGCTCTCTGAACCTCATTCGTGGCAGTTAAGGCCTACTATAATAATCTGCTCATGCCTGTATTGTGTGAAATTACACTGCATTGTAGTTACTTGACTACTTCTTCTACTATTCTGTGAGCTTACTGATAGTGAGACTCATGTTTTACTGATCTTGTTATCTCCATTAGTTAGCACAGTGCCTCACACAGAATAAACACTGAACTGATGGATGGATGGAGACACATAACTAAATTGGCTTAACTAAATTCTATTTATAGATTGCTCAGTCACTGGCTCAAGGGTGAGGAGATACCATTATTAAGAAGTGGATCAATACAGATTTTAACTTGCCCTCTCTAGAGTTAATAGGGGCTAGCCAGGTGTAGTGGTGCACCTTTGATGCCAGCACTAGGGAAGCAGGGCAGGCAGATCTCTCTGAGATCCAGGCCACCTAGGGCTATAGGAAGACCCTGTCTCAAAACAACAAAAAGGAGTTAATAGGGATATTTTTGCTTTTAAATACAAAAGTCACTCTGATTTTATACTTACCTGTGTACCTCAATGTAGATGGCATGAGGATGATGTATAACACTATGTAAAGTGCAAGTTTTTTAAAATAATTCATATGCTCACAACTTTTGAAGATTTTGTTGTTATCATTATTACTAGCTTGGTCCTAAACTTACCATTTGCTCTTTAAAAATTCATTCTGTCTATAGAAAAGGTTTACATTATATACGACCAATTGTAATATATTTAGCAAGAGTTGTACCTGATGAACCTCCAAAGGGACCCTGCTGACCTGAGAGAAAATTCAGTGGAAGAAATTATTGGGTTTGAGGAAGAAAACTCTACAACAAGGCCTGGGGGAGTGGTGGTTCCAGGCAGTGTGGTGATGACCGAAATTTTTCACTGATGGTTACTCTGTTGGTAAACTCATGTTCTGAGGATGAGAGAGCTGTATGTGCTACAGTACAGTCTGACCAATCCCCATGGAAACCTTCTGACCTGGACTGTACTGTTTTGAGACACAGATAGGACCACCAAAGAGGGAGAATATGTCCTTAGTGGTAAACAAAGGGAAGCTGAGGGCTTGGGAAATACAGAAGGGTGACTAAGATAAGATAGATGAAGAGAGATGAGATGGAACAGCAAGAGTGAGCAGTAGCAGGTACTATGGAGCTTGAGGTACTAGGTGGAAAATGCAACCTTATAAATGAGTTAGACTGGGCAATAGGTCAGTGGTAGACACTTGCCTAGCATAGGTTCAATAACCAATAACACCTAAACCAACAACAAAATGAGTCACTAGTTGCTCAAAGGAGAAAAGAACTGTAGTTAGTGAAATTTGTTACTATGACCTCATTTGTATGTACAGGTACAGAATCCTGGGGAATTTGAGTTGTACGTAAATGGTTTTGTCAGTGGCTGCTCAATCTCTACCCTGTCCCTATTCCAAGTTTATCCTCATTTCAGAATGATTCTTTAGCTCAAGTGCTGGGAATCAAACCCAAGGCCTTGAGCATGCAAGGTAAATGTAAATACTTAGCTTTTTCTACAGGTAAGTTAGCTAGGTGGCATATCTATTTTCTTGGGCTTGGTCTCCATCACCCTCAACTCCAATTACAAGCACATGCTACTGCATCTGTCATTTTCACTTGAGTTCTGGGGCTCAAACTCAGGTCCTTATGCTTGCAAGGCAAGTGCTTTATCAGCTCAGCCATCCCTGCAGCCCACACATGAGCTTTTTGTTTTCTTCTCGAATTATGCAGGGTGTGGTATGTAGTGGCACACGCCTTTGGTACCAGCACTTGGGAGGCAGAAGCAGGTGGATCTCTGTGAGTTCAAGACCAGCCTGGTCTACAAAGTTCCAGGCCATCTGGGGCTACAGGGAAAAAGTCTCAAAAAAAACCAAAAAAAAAAAAAAAAAGACACAAATTATAACCAAAAATGGAACCTTAATCCTGGTGCCCACCTTTTACCTAAAATGGACTAAGAAGGCAGCAGTCTAAAGCCAGGAATTGGATTAATTCAACAGGCATATATTTAACATTTTCATGTCAAACCCTGGCGATCCAAGAAGCACAGAGGTAAGTCTATGGCTTCTGATTTTTTAAAGCCAGGAATTGGATTCATTCAACAGGTACACATTTAACATTTTCATGTCAAACCCTGGCGATCCAAGAAGCACAGAGGTAAGTCTATGGCTTCTGATTTTTTAAAGCCAGGAATTGGATTCATTCAACAGGTACACATTTAACATTTTCATGTCAAACCCTGGTGATCCAGGAGGTGAGTCTGTGGCTTCTGACTTTTAGTCTACTGAGATCAGCAAATAGGAAATTACAAAAATGCAGTAAGTGCTGATGTAGGATATAACACTTAAGACACTTCTCTGGACCTTTATAGAATCTCCATCAACTCCTGGAATTCTACTTACTATATTTTCATTAAAGTGTATAATTCATTTAAGTTTAAGGAATAGAACTTAGGTGAGTGAACGTGGTGGAGACTCTCCACTTACCTGTATCCCTAGCCCCAGTGTGGTAATTTAAAATTACAACTGGGAAGTAACAGAGGAAGTTATTAGGGTTTCCCCCTCTCCAACAGGGTCTCATGGACTTTGGATTTCTAAAGCCCTTGAAAAAAAGGGAACTGAGTTGATAAGCACCTTGGTCTTTGAAGTAAAGGAAAGCAGACTCTTCTAAGAGGCAGCCTACCTTTCCTTTGATCGCCAAAAACAAGATAAGCACATTCTGCCTGTAAACCAAAGATTTTAGGAACCACTTTAGTACAACAGCTTTTCCCTTAAGAGGACAAAAAATAAACACTTCCTGACCCAGATCCTGGCTGGCAGGCTGAACAGAGCCGGATTTACAAGCCCCGCTCCATCCACCCCACCGTTTTTTTTCCCAAACAACTTGGGGCCTTCCGGACCCTGAAGCCCCCTTATATAAGCCCCAGCTCACACTCCGGGGTTGACATTTTCCCTTCCCTGAAGGGAATGTGTCGCTTCGGAAATAAAACTCTACCCCACTGAGAGTTTTATCTGTGTCTTGATGCTTCCTCCTTTACCCGTTCTTTCTCTGGCAACTTTTTATCTATCAGAGGTGAAGGGGTTTGCAGAGAATATGGGACCACGTCTGGTAACTATCAAGGGCTTAGGGGATAGTACAGAAATCTATTGAAATATTCCACGTCTGCACTTCTCGTTGTTTACTGGTTTCACGTACCCCAGATTGTCCTCCTACACGGCCAAGGCAGACCTTGAACTTGATCCTTCTGTGGCCTAAGGGCTGGGAACACGAACATGCGCCATATCCTGCGGTATGAGCCCATTGCAATGAAAAGTAGACTCAAAAGCTTGGTAAGACATTCTCTGCCCACCTTAAGAAATGCCCACAGCTAATGCTTAAAAGGGACGTTCTTGAGACTTGGGCTTCGGTTCTTTCCTGAAACCATACTGGACACGGGACAACTCTGCTTGGCCCAGGAGGCTTCTCCTGCCCCACAGGGGTGGACCCAGTCTCTTTCCAGCCTCCACTTGCACTGACTCCTGCGCCGTCGCCTTTCACGTGGGCTCTGTGGCATCTTCCATGAGCTACCTTCAGCAGGTGAGCGCCTCAAGCTGAGGCGGAACCCACTCGAAGCCCACCGACCCCGCCTACCTCGGCCACCAGACCAAAGGTGGCAGAACCTCACAGCGAAGCCTCCGTCGCCAATTCACTTCCGGGCGGCCTAACCGGAAGGACTTTCTGCCGGGACTCTGCCGTTGCCCTGCCCTTCGGCGTTGGCTAGGGTGGGGTGGGACTTCCGGTCTCGTGGTTCCGCGTGCCTCCAGAGTGAAGCCCGGCGCTGAGAACTGGATGTGAGGTGCGGTGGCCCGGCCCTAAGGCCGCCCGGGTGCCGTGTTCGGCTGGCTGCCACAGCCTCACCCTTTCAGGGCGCCTGCGGACCCCAGTGTGCAGTCAGCAGGTCGGGGGACGCCATGGAAGCACCACCTCCCTCGCCCCGCAGCTTCCTTTGTGGGGCCAGGGTTCCTTTCCCCCGCGTCTTGGCGGCCTGTGCTGTGGCTCCGGATTCCCAAGTCCCGGTGGAGAATCGGAAGCTGCCTTCCTATCTCTCAGAGCCTAGTTACCCGGAATCCGGATGGGACCGCCTCTGGCAGCTGTTTGTCAAAGAGTAATAGTGCCCTGGGTGTGTGGGGAGGGCGGTGAAGGGGACCCGGGGCCGTATCGGACCCGGCGACCGAGTGCTGTTGCACAGACTGCACTAGGATCTGCCCGGACAGCTCCACTATGTAGTTGAGACAGCCGGGTTTTTGAATGGTACCTGTCAGACCCATTCAAAGTCCCCCTCATTCTAGTGAAATCAGTGCCCCAGTTGTATAGATTAGCAAAATTGAACTAATTCAGGGACTGTCATCGCTGAAATCACTGGAAACTATGTAGAAGCCCACACTCGTATTTTTTATATTTTATTTGCTCCCGAGCTTGGATGTTTCATGACCTATATAGTGTCTCTACACACCCAAAATAGAGATTGAGGAGAAACAGAGAAAATTGTTAAATTTTTAATTTGCACAAGAAAATAAAAATAGTGGCAACTATTCTCTCCCTCCCCCTCCTTTCTCCCCTCTTCCTTTTTCTTTATCATTTTTTGAGACAGCATTTGCTGTGTAGCCCTGGCTGTACATGTAGCCCAGTCTGGCCTGGAACTCAAAGCAGTAATCCTCCTGCCTCAGCCTCTCAAGTTCTGGGATTTCAGGCATGGTACTACCACCCCAAGCCTCTCTCTTTTGTAGTGTTGGGGATCAAATGTAAGGCCTTATCTGCCATAGGAGCTACAGGCCTCTTAAAATGAGATATGACTCATTTTATAAAAGGTTGTTAAGACTTTAAAGGATAGCCAGGTGTAGTGGTGTGCTCCTTTAATCCCAGCACTCAGAAGCAAAGGCCTCTGTGGTCTGGTTCTCTGTAAGTTTGAGACCACTCAGGACTGCATAGTGAGACAGACTCTATCTCAAAAAATTAAAATAAGTAAAGGCTATAAAGATTAAATAGCTATTTGAATTGTGTTTGTATAATAGGCCTCAGTACAAATGACAGAATGTATGAACTCCAGTGTTGGACTATGGGAAGGTGCCAAAGGGGAAGGGGGTATAAAGATGATTTTATGTATGAAATACACAAAAGTTCAATAAAAAATTAAAAGAAAAATATACCTACATACACTTACTAATGAATTTTCACAAATGACAGAAACTGCGTAAGCGTCACTAGAGTAAGCATCACTAGAAATGGTTACCAGCATCCCCGAACCTCCCTTTTGTGCCCTTCTTCCCAAGGGTAATTACTGTCCAAGTTTTCTAACAGGTTACTTTTGCCTAAGATTTTGTGTATTGCTTTTTCATCTTGTTCTTTTTGAGACAAATTCTTACTCTGTAGCACCGGTTGACCTCAAACTTATGATCCCCTGCCTTAGCCTTAGAAGTGTACACTACCATGTTCAACTTGCATTGTTTAATTCATTAAAGGATTAAATCAGGTCTGCCCATAACAAAAGTGTGGTGTAAGCATTTGGGATAATTCTGACCACAGTGTTTTGGATAATATTCCAACAGCATTTTCTTTTTTGATGTTTCAGTGAACAACAGAGAATGTCAAAGGAACTTGACAATATCTGTAGGGCAGCAGTTTCAGCAGGCGTCATTGGATGGGCATATGGAGGAATACCAGCTTTCATTCATGCTAAAAACCGCTACATTGAGCAAAGTCAAGCAGAAATTTATCATAATCGATTTGATGCTGTGGTAAGTATTAGCACTCTAATAGTAGGGACATACCAGTTTACAATTTAGCAATTCTTTTTGCACTTTGTTAGGTCTTGGGTTTCAGAGGGTTTTGGAATTTCTCAAGTAAAGAAACTAAGTCTATACTTAGTAACAGCGGAAATACTAGTGCTTAGTGCCTAGACAAATTTCCTAGTTCTTCTAGTTATCAGTTTAAAATAAATAAAAGGATTGATTTTTTTCCCTAGTTTAGAATACAATTGCAGATTATGTGTTAAATTTGCCTCTCCTGCCTTTTTAGTACCCTGAAGGGGTACTTTCTTGCCCTTGAAGATTATGGACCATTTGTAAAATGGTCCTCAATTTAGATTTGCTTGATTGTTTCTCATGACAAGATTTAGCATTGGGCTGTGGGTAAAGATGTTTGCTGCCAAGCCTGGACCTGAGTTTAGGACCCACATGTGGGAAGGAGAGAACTGACCTCTGCAGGTTGTCATCTGTCTACCGAAGCTTGTCTGTCTTGTCTGTCTGTCTACTGCAGGTTGTCCTCTGACCTCCACATGCACTTTGTGGTATGAGTTTTGTATTAGTTACTTTTCTGTTGCTGTCATAAAACACCATGAACAAGGCAACTTACAGAAGGAAGAGTTTATTTAGTTTATGGCTCCAGAGGTCTAAAGTCCATCATGGCAGGGAGGCTTGATGGCAGGAGGTGACCAGAGCAGAAAGCCAAGCGTGGCATCTTTAAGCAGACACAGGAAGCAGAGTGAAACTGGAAATCTGGCAAGGCTTAAGAACTCTCAAAGCCCACCTGGAACATGACCACACCTCCTAAAGTTTCCATGACCCTTCCCAAACAGCATCAAGAACTGGAGACCAAGTGTCCAAATACTTGGAGCCTATGGGGTACATTCTCATTCAAGCTCCACAAGCTTGCATGCACATAAATAAAAAAGATTTAGACTTGTTTTTTTTTTTGTCAGGAATATCCTAGAATTGACATTGTATCCTTTTCAGTACCTTGTGAAGCACATCCTATCTATTTGTTCTTTTACTGGTGATAATGACCTTTAGTCACTTAGATGCCATCCACCAGATTTATCCACTAAAAAATTACTATTTCTCCCCACTTTGAGGTGCTAAGTATTTTATGGGTTCTTGGTAGATCCTTTGAGATTTTAGAAACATTCCATTTCATCAAATTTCTACTTCTACCTTTAGCATTAAATGATGTTTTTTACTTGAATGGTTATTACTGTGGTGATTGCCCAATGACCATTTTATAATTCTATCATTCTTTCTACATTTATTAGTTAATATTTTACTCTAAGGAAGTCTCTTATTTATTATTCTATACGTTATTCATCTATCTACAGTTGTGTGGGTATGTGTTAAATGATAGATTTTTCTGAGAAATGTGTTGGTGATTTTTTTTCGTTGTGTGACTATCACAGCATGTATGACTCAAACTAGGATAGCCACAAGGTCATTAGGTAATCTCATGTGGTCTGTTCTTGACCAAAATGTTGCTATGCAGGGCATGACTCTTATTTATAATTTATTTTATATCAATGTATACTCATGGTTTCTTATTCAATAGAGTCGTAATCCATTACTCTCATTTATTCTGATACTCCAGTTGGCCTCTTATTTGGACAATTAGAACCTTTGACGGTAGTTCCCCTGTCCTTGAGATAATGTCTTCTTTTTCTTTTTTTTGAGAAAGGTCTTGTTACATAGCCCAAACTAACCTTGACCTCGCAATCCTACTGGCTAGCCCAGCTTTTTACTTGTCCATTGCTAGTCTTAAAATTAGTCATTTCTCCAAGGAACTCAGACTTCTTTTAGGGAATAATAGTATTTAGAAACCAAGATCTGGGTCCTTGGTGTGCTCAATTCTACCAGGCTATCATTGTTTCTAGACTGTAGGCACAGTTAGGAAGTGTATATGTGTGTGTGTGTGTGTGTGTGTGTGTGTGTGTGTGTTTGTACATTAATACACATCTATATCAGTGTCTGTTTATTAAAGGCCATGAGTTCCTACTAATATTCTTTATTAAAAATATTTTATTATTTTTTAATTGTATGTCTATAAGTGTATTGCCTGCAAGTATGTAAGTGCACCTGTGTCGTGCAGTGCCCACAGAGGTCAGAAGAGGGTATTGGATCCCCTGGAACTGGAGTTACAGATGGTTGTTAGCTGCCATGTGGGTGCTGGGATTCAAACCCAGGTCCTCTGCAAGAGCAGCCAGTGCTCTTAACCTTTGAGCCGTCTCTCCAGCCCCTACTAATAATTCTTTTTAAAAATATTTATTTTATTTTTAATTATTTGTCCCTGTGTGCCTGTGTATACATGAGCATAAGTGTCTGCAGAGATAGATCCCCTAGAACTGGAGTTAGAGACAGTTGTAAGCCTCCGATACAGGTGCTGGGAACTGAACTCTGGTCCTCTAGAAAAGCAGCAAGCACTCTTAATACTGAGCCATCTCTCTAGCTCCCCATAATGATACTTAGAGAAGTTTGGATTTGCCCAAGTTAGGATTTACACATGAATTTAATCATATTCTTTAAAAATACAAACTTTATCTTATGGTACTGTGCCAGACTTGCTGTGTGATGGGCTAATGACTGAAAATGCATTATGAAGACGTATAACATATCTTCTAATTCTGACCTTGTTCCGTAACCCTCCGGGAAATGGTAATTGTAAACTTACTCCCAAGTTTAAATTAAAGTTTAACTACCTTCTTGAAGAGAATATTGTAAAGAGTGAGGTAATACGTTAATTTGATTTTTAAAGAAATTGTGCGTGTGTGTGTGTGTGTGTGTGTGTATGTATGTGTGTACGTGTGTGCATGAGTGTTTGTGCTGCACAAGTGGAAGTCAGAACAACTTTGGAGATCGAGTCTCCCCTTCTGCCTTGTTGAGGCAGGGTCTGTCTTGTCTCTATGTGCTCCAGGCTTGCTGACCCTTGGGTTTCTTTTTTTAAAATAAATTTTATTTGTTATTTTTTTTTTTTATGTGTATGTGTGTATTGCCTGTGTGTAGGTACGTGCACCCGTGTCATGCAGGGCCCGCAGAGGATGGAAGAGGCTGTTGGATCCCCTGGAACTAGAGTTACTGACAGTTGTTAGCTGCCATGTGGGTGCTAGGATTTGAACCCAGGTCCTCTGCAAGAACAACCAGTGTTCTTAACCACTGAGCCATCTCTCCAGCCCCAACCCTTGAGTTTCTAAGTGGTTCTCCTATCTCTACCTCCCATCTCACTGTGGGAGTGTGAGGATGCAGATGCCAGCCATTAATCTAGATGCAGATGCCAATCATTACATCTGGCTTCATGGGTTCCAGAAATTGAACTCAGCTCATCAGGCTTACCTTTACCTGCAGAGCCATCTCCCTAGCCCTTCATTTACATTTTTTCATAAAAGGTGATCAGTAAATATTAGTTTTTCTTTCTCTGTTCTTTTCTTTCACATCTGCATTACTTTAACCCCTGACTTTAATTTTGCATTTCCTTAGTATTCTTTGTTTTTCATTTCACTGCTATTTCTTGAATATAAAAAGCGTTACTGTTATTGGCTTTATAACTGTCATGATAGCTGCCACATAGATTCTCTTTAATACTTAATTGATGGATTATTTGGTTGAAAATAGTACTTAGGTGCTTCGTTTCCTCTTTTTTTGGGGGGGGGGTAGTACAGTGAACTTTATTGATGGTATTGATTTTTTCTTTTTCTTTTTTTTTTCTGGAGCTGAGAACCGAACCCAGGGCCTTGTGCTTGCTAGGCAAGCGCTCTACCACTGAGCTAAATCCCCAACCCCCTGTTGATGGTATTTGAAAGAGTAGGTCTGGAATGGAAACTGAGGGGAGATGGTCAGTGTGTTGGGGGCTGAATTGGGGTCCAGCAGCTGAGGGCTCTCTCTTCTTTGCCTGCTCTTGTTGGAGTGAGTGGGTTGGGGCTTCTTTCTCCTTGGAGGCCAGGTAGGCCATAAGGTCCACCACCCTGTTGCTGTAGCCAAATTCTTTGTCATACCAGGAATAAGCTTGACAAAGTGGTCATTGAGGGCAATACCAGCCCTGGCATCAAAGGTGGAAGGAGCGGGTGTTGCTGTTAAAGTTGCAGGAGATAATTTGACCATTGATGGGAATAATACCCAGTTTGCCAAAGTTGAAGGCAACAGTGGTAACCAGGTGGCCAATATGGCAAAATATGTCCACTCTAATTTATCATTGTGTCTCAGGAGTGCAGCTGGTACTGCACAAGAAGATGCGGCATCTCTCAAACAGGGGGGAACAGAGAAGTCCTTAGGCCTTCTTTGTCTTCTGAGTCTTTGTGCTTAATTGTCAATATTTAAACAGTGATGTTTCTAGATTTTTTTTCTTTGTTTCTGTTTAGGTGTCCAGAGTGATGTATAACTGACATTTCTCTATTACAGTTTTAGAATAAGGGAAATTTCAAGGTGTCTTTAGAACTTCATAGTTGTTGTTTTTGTTTTATTTTTAGCAAAGTGCACACCGCGCTGCCACACGAGGCTTCATTCGATATGGCTGGCGCTGGAGTTGGAGAACTGCAGTGTTTGTGACTTTATTTAAGTAAGTTCTTTCAGCTGTGAGATAGACCCTTGATTTTTTTTTTTTTTGTTGTTGTTGTTATTGTGTTTTGTTTTGTTTTGATTTTTGAGATGGGGTTGTGCTGTATCTCAGGCCAGCCTGGAACTCACTGTAATCTGGGCTGAACTTGAACTTTGATTCTCTTGTGGTAGCTTTCCATGTCTTGAAATTACAGATGTGTGCCACCGTGCCCTTATTCTTTTCGGAGTGTATCTTTTGAGCAAGTGAGATAATGAAAACATATGAAAATATTCATAGTGCCTCTTTATTAAAAGCTTTTTATGTTTATTCATTTATTTGTGTATGTGGGGGGTGAGTATGCATGCATATGTGCCATGGTGTGCATGTGGAGATCAGAAGACAATTTGTGAAAATAGATTCTCTGTTTCAAACATGCGGGTCCTGGGGATTGAACTGAGGTTGGCAGGCTTCTGGCAAGTTCTTGTACCTGCTGAGCCATCATTACCTCCCATAATGCCATTTTCTTAATAACTATGTATGAAAGAGGCTGGTCCAATTGTAGTTCTGTATCAATGATAGAGTTCGACAACAGGGAGCAAAAATACGTGTAGGATTTCTTTTTCCTTTTGAGATGGGGTCTTCTATGTAGCCCAGGCTGAACTGGACCTCAGTATGTAGTCCAGGTTGGCCTCAAACTTTAAATCTTGCCTTGCCCTCCCAAGTACTGGGATTACAGTGTGTACCACCATGCCCAGAGTGGAATCAGAGTTTCTAAGAGAAAAATTCCACAAAGCCCTTCTTTATGTTGTTACTTTTCTTAGTAATTTTATTTTGTTGCTGTTTTTGTTTTGTTCTCCAACAGAAGTCTACCTCTAAACCCCATAGGCATATTAGTAGTCTAGAACACATTGAAGGGGCCTAGACTAGGACTAGAGCTTGAAATAGGATCTTTTTTTTGAGACAGGATCTCTTATAGCCCTACCTGGCCTTGGACTTGATGTGTAGCTGAGGATGACCTTGAATTTCTGATCCTTATGCCTTCATTTCCCAGATGCTGGAGATTGAACCCATGACTTCATGAATGCTAAGCTAGCTGAGCTACATGCCTAACCCTTGCAGGATGTTAGAAACCTATCGTTTCAGTGAAAATAACAGTCAGGAAGGTGAATGGAATGTACTTTGAATGATATGTTCTTTTTCCTCCTTTGTTCCCAGCACAGTGAACACTGGACTGACTGTTTATCGAAATAAAAATGCCCTCAGCCACTTTGTCATTGCAGGAGGTAAGTCATTTTTGTTCTTGTTCACATTTTCAATTTCTAGTATGATCTAAAGTATATAGGATTTAAGAACTGCTGAATTTTTTGACTGGCTTCACACTATATCCTTTTCAACATTCATGCATATATTTATGGATAGCATTATGTTTAGCCCTTGGTAGTTGTTACAGCAGTCAAGTCCTTTGCTGTCGTTAAATTTTAAAGTCTCATGAATAAGGACAAAAACAGTTCCTATGACAAAAAGTAACAAAGAGATGGACAGTACATCTAGCATGGACCTGATGGTCAGCCAAGGCCCTTTTAAGCATTCAGGCTGTTAACCCACAGAATAGGAAGGAGCAAACTCTGCAGAGGGGAACAGACAGAGTATCAGGAGGAATTTGTAGGGAAGATCATGTTCCTCAGAAGCAGGCTAATATGTTTGAAACACAGGGGAGAGAAGTAGCTTTGGATGAGATTAGACATGTAAAGTAGGAGGGGATCAGAGTTTTTTCATGGCAAGAGTTTTTTTATTTTAAAGCTCTTTTTTTCTAGTGTTGACACACTCCGTTAAGCTATTAAAAATAGAGCATGGGAGTGTGGCAGCATATTCCTGTAATCCCAGCACTCTGGACACTTAGAAGCAGATCACAGAAAGTTCCATGTCTAGGGAATTATAACACAGCTAGCCTGAGGGTTTTTTTTTAAATATATTTTTTATTATTTTTATTTTGTGTGTATGAGTATATTGCCTGCATGTGTGTAAGTGCACCTGTGCCATGCAGTGCTTGCGAAGGTCAGAGGATGGTGTTGGATTCCCCTGGAACTGAAGTTACAGATGGTTGTTGGCTGTCATTTAGGTGTTGGGAACTGAACTTGGGTCCTTTGCAAGAGTAGCCAGGGTTCTTAACCGCTGAACCATCTCTCCAGCCCCGTAGCCTGAGGTTTTGATACTCTTTGGGGCAAGCTATAGCCTAGCAGACTAGACTGAATTCACAGACATGCACACTCATGTGCACCCACATATGTACAAACATGCATACATGTGTATGTACATCACATAATACACAAATATAGAATAGGAAAAAAAGAAAAGAAATGGAAAAGTAAACTTGCAGAGTAGGACAAAATCATTTACAAATCATATCTGATAAGGATATGCCTCCAGAATAGATGAAGGACCCTCACAACCCAACAGGAAGACGGCCCAGTTACAGAGTGGCAAAAGATTTCTGTAGATATTTTCATCAAAGAAGCTGAGTGGCCATTAAGCAATGGAAGATCCTTAATCATTAGGGCATTAGTGACGTACCTTTTTATAGTCACTAGAATGGCTATACTATTAAAAAAAAAAAAAGTGTTGAAGATGTTGGGAAACCACATCCTTCCTACATTGTTGGTGGGAATGTCAAGTGGTACAGTCACTCTGAAATAGTTTAGCAGTTTCTTTAAAATTTAAGTCTAATTTGCCATATAGTTCAGTAGTTCTGCCTGAGAATCCACTCAGGAGAAATGAAAACACATTCACACAAAACTCTGTGAATTTTTATACCAGCAGCATTCTTAATGCCCCCAAAGTGAAAACCCACATGTTTATCAGCTAGCAAATGGGTAAACAAAAAGTGGTATGTGGTATATCCACTCAATGGAATATTTTCTCTTTTTAAAAAATATTTTTATTTTGTATTTATGAATGTATTACCTGCATGTATGGAAGTGTACCTGTGTCATGCAATGGCCGTGGAGGTCAGAAGAGAGCATCAGATCCTTTGATACTGGAGTTATGGACAGTTAGCTGCCATGTGGATGCTGGGAACCAAACACAGGTCCTCTGCAAGAGGAGCCAGTGCTCTTAACCACTGAGCCATCTCTCCAGCCCTCAGCAGAATATTTTCAACAATGAAAAGGAGAAGAAACTGATACATGTAGCCACATGAATAAACCCCCAGAACCTTGTTAACTGGAAGAATCCAGACTCAAAAGACTTTAGTGTATGGATTCCATTCACTCAAAATATCCAAAATAGGCAAATCTTTCAGAAAGGAAATTGAAATGGGATTGGGAACCAGCAATAACTTCAAATGGATGTGAGGAATCTTCTTGTAAGGAAGAAAATGTTCCAAAATTGGGCTATGATAATAGTTGCCCTCTAAATGTGATCAAAACAGCCTCTTGCTGTGTAGCCCAGGCTAGCCTTGAGTTCTGTCCTCCTGCCCCAGCCTTCTTTGCTGGAGTTATAGGCAAGCACTGCCAACCTGACTTGCAGTTAAACTTTTTTTACTAAAAATAATTTAATTGTACATTTAGATGAACTTTGCCATATATAAATTATACCTTAATAACACTTAAAAATATTAACATAGGAGGAGGAAAGGCAGTACTTTTAGAAATAAGACCATATTGCAGATCATATTTTAAAGGCTTGCTTGGAAAATTGTTTTTTCTTTTTCTTTTGATGCAGTGTCTCATATAGTCAGGGTGGCCTTGAACTCACTATGCTTGCCTCCACCTCCCAAGTACAGGGATTACAGATATGTACTATGCCCAGCTGGAAAGCTGTTAATGCTAATCAGTAAAGTATAAATACGTAAGTAGCTTTTCTTTTTAATATTCCAACAAGGGTTCTTTGAAAAATAAAGCGGTCTTTATAAAATAGGAATAAGAATATGCCACAATGAGGAATATATTTAATAAATGCTCAGCTTCTTTGAAGAAAATTACAAATCAGAAGAGTAACAAAATTAGCTTCCAATTAACCCAGTATTATTTTCTTAATTTTGTTTGTTTTTTGAGATAGGGTCTCATGTAGGCAATACTGGCCTCTAACTTACTTTGTAACTGAGGATGATCTTCTGGTCCACCTGCCTCAGCCTTCCAAGTACTGGAATTTCAGTCATGTGCCACCATGTCTGGCTCTCTATTCTTTATTTTTATTTATTTTGTGTGTACGAGTGTTAATGCCTGCATGTGTGTAAGTACATCCATGTCATGCAGTGCCCACAGAGGACAGAAGAGAGCGTTGGAGCCCCTGGAACTGGAGTTACAGGTGGTTGTTAGCTGCCATTTGAGTGTTGGGATTTAAACCCAGCCAGTACTCTTTTTTTTTTTTCCCCAGCTGTCCTGGAACTCACTATGTAGACCAGACTGGCCTCAAACTCACAAAGATCCACCTACCTCTGCCTCCCAAGTGCTGGGATTAAAGGCATGCGCCACCACGCCTGGCTGGCTTTTAATTCTTAATTGTCAAATATGAAGACAGGGCCTGACTCATGGGATTCTCCTGTATCATCAGCCTCCTGAACGCTGGAATTGTAGATGAGAACCTACCCTGTGTCTGGATTTTTGTATCTTTGTGTTGCTTGAGTGTGTGCTTGCCAACGTAGGTATGTGTAGGGGCTAGAGGGTGGCATTAGGATGTCTTCCTCAATCCTTTCTCCATCATATATATATATATATATATTTTTTTTTAAAAAGAGAACTTGATACAATATGTAACGCCTGTCTAAAATGCTGATTCTATACGTATAGTGAAATTTTCCTTAAAGAATTGAGAACTTTGCCATCCAGAATTAAAATGTGTATGATATTACAGCAAAGACTACTAGGGTTGTTGGCAGACCTGTTGAGCAGAATTAAAAGATCAGGAACAAAGCCCAGCACACACACACACACACACACACACACACACACACACACACACACACACACGCCACTAAAGGTGATATTTTAGATGTGTAGAGAAAGAAATGACAGTTTATAGGCTGGAACTACTTGAAAAGAAATCAAGTTCCCAACAGTATTCAGTACAATAAAATTTAAATTCATTAAAACATAGTAAAAATCCATGAAATGGTAGGAGAGACAGCTGAGCAGTTAAAAATTTGTACTATTCTTCTGGAGACCCAAGTTTGGTTTCCAGCAACCCCATCAAGTGGCTCACAACCACCTAGAACTCCAACTCCAGGGGATCTGATGTCCCTTTCTGGCCTCCATGGACACCTGGATACGCATGTGCATCTACCCACACATAGACACACACATATACAATCAAAAATAAAAAAGAATCTAACAGCCGGGCATGGTGGCGCACGCCTTTAATCCCAGCACTTGGGAGGCAGAGGCAGGCGGATCTCTGTGAGTTCGAGGCCAGCCTGGTCTCCATAGTGAATCCAGGACAGCTGGGGCTACAGGGAGACCCTGTCTCAAAAAAGACCAAAAAAAAAAAAAAAAAAAATCTAACAAAAAATTCCATAAAATGCTAGGGGAGGGGCTGGAGAGATGGCTCAGTGGTTAAGAGCACTGGCCAGTCTTGCTGCTCTGGGTTTTGTTTTCAGTACCCACGTGGCAGCTAACAACCATCTGTAACTCCAGTTCCAGGGAATCCAACCCCCACTCCTGGCCTTGGGCATTGCATGACACAGGTGCACTTATATACATGGAGGCAAAACACTCATACACATAAAATAAAAATAAATAAAAAACATATTTTTAATGCTAGGGGAAAATATAACTGAATATGCTTTCTTAGTGGGAAGATATGTAAGTATATATTTGTATCTGTGTATGTATATGCTTTAAAGCATAAAACTTAGATTATCTCAAAAAGACCAAAAAAAAAAAAACCCTTATATTTTGTAAGAAATTATGAATAGATTTAACCACATAAAATACTACAGAAGACATTAAATGTGAAGTGACCCCCAAATAATAATAATATATGCAGATAGGTTCTCAATAAAAGCCCTAATACATCAAAAAGAAAGGATATCTTAATTGAAGATAGATAAAGAACATTGAATTTGGGGCTGGAGAGATGGCTGAGCAGTTAAGAGCACTGGCTGCTTTTGTAGAGGACCCAGGTTCAGTTCCCAGCATCCACGTGGCAGCTAACAACTTTTTGTAACTCCCATTCCAGGGAATCTGATGCCCTCTTCCGGCATTGCACACACATGGTATGCTTACATACATTCAGGCCAAATACTTGTACACATAAAAATCATTCAATCAGAAAAATTTTTTAAATGACATTGCATTTTAAAATTTTTATTTATTGATTGATTTTTATTGTATGTATATGAGTATATTGCCTGCATGTATGTAAGTGCATCCATGTCATGCAGTGCCTGTGGAGGCCAGAAGAGGCATCAAATCCCCTGGAACTGGAGTTAGATGATTGTTAGCCGCCATGTTGGTACTGGGAACCGGACCTGGGTCCTTTGCAAAAGCAACCATTGCTTTTAACCACTGAGCAATGTCTCCAGCCCCTTGTCCCAGAAATTCCATTTCTGAGTTCATTGTTAGGAAATAGTCAAATGTATAAAGATTTATGTGCAGGAGTTATCATTATACCTTTTCTTAAAACATCCATGCCTGGCATGGTAGCATCCCAGCATTAAAGAGGCAGAGGCAGCAGATCTCTGAGATTAAAGCCAGCCTGATCTATATAGGGAGTTCCAGGCCAGCTGAGGCTACAGGGAGACTCTGTCTCAAAAAACAAACCAAAAGGGGCTGGAGAGAGAGTTAAGAGCACTTGTTGGTCTTGCAGAGGGCCTGAGTTTGATTCCCAGCACCCACATGGCAGCTGACAATTGTCCATAGCTCCAATTCCAGGGGATCCAGTGCCGCCTTCTGACCTCCGGAGGGTACTACACAACATGAGTGTACTTACGTACATACATGCAATACGCTCATGCACAAAAAAATGAATAAAGTAAAAATTTAAAAACATTTTAATGCATAAATAAATTTTATGTTTGGACCAAAATGTGTGGTCTATCCATGTGAGAGAGAATAGTGATAATGGATTTAATATAAAGAAAATAAAAAGTTTAGTATGTGTATCATGGCCCCATTTGTTTCTTAAAAATATTTTGTTTGGGCCAGGTGTGGTGGCACACACTTTTAATCCCATCACTCAAGAGGCAGAGACAGGCAGATCTCTGTGAGTTCAAGGCCAGCCTGGTCTACATAATGAGTTACAGGTCAGCTGAGGTTTCAGGGAGACCCTGTCTCAAAACAAAACAAAACAAAACAAAACAAAAAAAATTGTTTGGAAGACTAGAATAAAAGACACACCATGTACTATTTTTGAGTAATGAGATTAAAAGTGATTTTTGTTCTTGTTAATTTAGAAAATCTTAAAATTTAATGTCTAATAATTAAATAGAAATATAAATCACAAATTAAACAGTCACAATTGTTGCTGAGATGACAGTAGTTGCATAGTGGTAGAATGCTTGTGTAGCATGCATGGAGGGCTACATAACTCAGTACCACATCCGCTCAGTGTGGTAGATCTCAGTACTAGGAAAGTGGAGGCAGGAAGATCAGAAGTGCTGAGGTTATCCTTGGCTACATAGTGAGTTTGAGGCCAGCCTGGGTTACATGAGACCCTGAATTTAAAAAGAGAAGAAAAAGGAAATTAAAGGAGCATCCTGAAAACAGAGTTCCTGTGGAAAGAGGCGCACCCCCAGTGCTGGCCACCAGGTGGCACTGTATGCTTGATGCAACCTCTGCGGACCTGCTGCCTGATTGCCACACTGGCAGTAAGACAGGGTGAGCCTGGGAGAAGGCATAATCATCTGGTGCTAGTGAAGGTGGGATTTTGCTTTGTTTTTGTTATAATTTTGGACAGGGTTGCCTGGAAAAGGGAAGACATGAAAGAGGTGGAAAGGTATGGGGAGATGGTTGGGTATGAACTGCCTGCTTTTAAGAGGAAATGGGCAGAAATGAGGCAGAATGGGATTAGAGCCAGAGGACAGACTGAGAATTTATATTTATAAAGGAGCCTTTCTTCCTTTGAGTCTGTAGAGTGAACAGAAGGTTACCTTCATGACTGTCACTACACCGTATCAATGATGGCTCCAGAAAGCTCATTCAGATCTGCTCTTGCTGTAGAAAGAAATTTTAAAATAGAATTCTAGTGCTTGAAGATGATTTAATATTACCTTTTTTCTTTTTAAATAGCTGTCACAGGAAGTCTTTTCAGAATAACCTTGGGCATTCAAGGCCTGGTAGCTGGTGGTATAATTGGAGCCTTGTTGGGGTATGTATTAACATGGCTAAATCTAAATGACTTGCCTGTTAAAAGTATTCATTATAAAGAACAAATTTAGTACTGAGAGACTATAAAAGATGTCTATCTTGTATTGGCAGTGGATATGACTGCTCAGTTCTTTTTGTGAGTATTGGAGGGTGTGATTGAACCCAGGTGGTAGGCAAATGCTCAACAGTTCATGAACACATTTTATAAAACTTTTGGTTTTGTTTGGTTGAACTTAATAAATTTTTATTTAAAGATTTTCTTAGCCATTTAAAAATTTTTAAAAATTAAAAATTTTAAACCTACAGAAAAATTGAATGAATGAGTACATTAAGGCCCTGTAGGTGGGCCAGTGAGATGGTTCAGTGGGTGGGTAAAGGTACCTGCCTCCAAGCCTGAGGACCTGAGTTGATTACCAAGACCCACAAGATAAAGGAAAGAACCAATTCCTGCCTCTCATCCTCTTCCACTTGTGTGCCTCCAATAAATAAATAAATAAATAAATAAATAAATAAATAAATAAATGAACAAATAAAAATAAATAAATAAGGAAAGAAAGAAAAGAAGGTAATTTTTTTAAAAATTATTTATTTCATACATGCACATAAGGTGTTTTTATCAAATCCATGCCCATTCCCTCCCCTCCAACTCTTCCCATATCTCTCCATCACTTTTTTCTGATAACTTCATGTACTCTTTCTTTTTTTTTTGTGGGGCTTTTGGGTACTCTAACATCCCCCCCTCTGAAGAGGTAACCCTAAAATCTTTTAAGGATTAGATAAAAGCTCCCAAATACTTTTGACATTTTTGGCCTTTGGAACTGAGTATGATGCTAAAAGGCCCAAGGACATTGTGACTTTTAGCCAAGAAACTGGCTACTTTTCTTTAGGGTCTTTTTACCTTAACTGCCTAGCCAATTCCTACCTATCATGCCATCCCCTGGAGGATTTACCCAAATTACCAATGACTGCTCTGGCTTCTTCCATGCTGATTTCTTTCATGTTGAACAGAAACTCAGGGTGAGGCAATTGGGGTACCCCTTCAGTGGGTCTGTCTAAAAGACTCCCAAATGGTATAACTTTAATCTGTAGGGGGAAAAGAAAGTCCTTGACTCGTGAATAGGAGATGTGAAAGAGAAGTAAAGGCAAGAGTAATTAGCATTACAAGTTCTAGACACAGAACTAGAAAAAAGTCAGAACAGGGCAATTTTCAAACGTTCATATGAGAGTCCATTGAAATTTCTTGACAAGAGCTTCCGAAATTGTCCCTCTATTGGGTTTTTCCTCATTTTTCTTTTGTCTTCCAAGGCTGTACTCGAGAGTGATGGACTCAGGATTTGTTTTCAGGTATTTTGATAGCTGTTGGAGTGGCTAGAATCGGTGTCGGTTCCCTCTCAAAGGCTTCCAGATAGAGGGAGAAAACTAATTTAGCCTCAAGGATTCAGGATTTGCTTTCAGGTATTTTGATAGCTGTTGGAGTGGTTAGAATCAGTGTCAGTTCCCTCTCAGAGGCTTCTAGATAGGGGGAGAAAACAAATTTATCCATCATTTTAGAACAATAGCTGGTTGTCTCCCTCAGCTACTGGTGGGTGCCCCCGCCTGCGGGGACCCTGTACAGGTAAAGCTCAAGGGGGACCACTCCCTGAAAGGAAAAACGGGCGAGAAAGAAGAGACAGAGCCCAAGCAAGTCCACTTGTCAAGGGTCGCCTTATTGTGCTGCAAGCCTTTATTATATACAGTTTGTATTCAGAGGGGGTTGAAGAAGTTGGTCAAAGGTTACAGCATTCTTATGGGTATGGGAGGGGGACTGAGCAATTCAGCAACGTGACTGACCGCCAGATGTTCCAAGAGATTACTGCATGACTCATTTTTCCGAGAACTGTTTGCAAGAGGAAGAGAAAGATAACCTTGCCATAAATTCTTTCCCAAGGTTACTTGTGCAAGCAGAATGTCCTGCTTAAGTCAACTGTTTGTAGAGCTATATTATATTTTTTGGTAATGAATGTTGTTCCTCCAGCTCCCGACATCTCACCCTTTATTAATAACTTTAGCGAATGAAAGATATGCCTTAGGCTATGTGGTGGGTCCCCCGAGTTGGGATTCTTGTTTCTTTTGGTAAGGCCCCTGTCTTAGGCTACACAAACTGCTTCCATGTTCAGTACCCGCAAGTTTGGGGTATGCCCCTGAATCATGGGTTTGTGCTATTCCCGTCATTGAGTACCTTACAGCTGAGAATCTGCCTCC